GCGGGCCGGGGATGGTCGGCCGGGGTCGGCACCCCAGGGCCCGAGCCGACCCAGGCTGGAGCCGCCAGGGGGACCAGCCTGGGCCGCACCTCCTCCCCCCATCCCCCTCCCTTACCTGCTTCAGGCTTCCCGCGAATTAAATGTTCACGGGAAGCAGGGGAGGGGGCGGAGACTTTGGGGAAGGGGCGGAGTTGGGGCGGGGCTGGGGCCCGTGGAGTGTCCTCCATTTGGAGGCACAAAATATGGTAACCCTAATATTGAGAGATATTAAGATCAAGAGATTTAGCAACACTGCAGTGCTCCTCAGGAGCAGGGTGGTACATCTCTCCCTGTCCCCCAGACTGGGACAAGTTTCTCCAAGGACACAACTGTAGAAAGCCCCCCCAACCCCTGCCCGGCCCCCTTTAGTCTCCCCTCCAAGGGCCACACTCATAGGATCCTGCTTAGCTTCCCTCGCGCCAGGTAATGTCACCCCTCCTCTCACGTCAGAGAAGAAGGCGGGGCTGGAGGGATGGGTCGGGCGGGGAAAAGGGGTTTTGAAATTCCCGCGTGCAGGTGGCCGTTGGCCGCGCGTTGTCTCCGCCGCGCGCCCCGGCTGTGGGAGGTCCTCGCTTGGGATGCGGGGGCCGCACTCGGGCTGCCATAGGCCCTGGCCCCCGTGGACAGGCCGCCGCCTCCTCCCGCCAGCGTCAGGCAGAGCTAGACAGTTGGTGCGGGGGCTGCAGCTGTTAGCTCGCGGCGGTTCAGCGGGGACAAGCCCGCCCAGCCAAACCGCCAGCAGAGAGTCCGCGCACCTGCGCCGGACACACGTCACCCCTGATGATGTGCCTGCCCCAGCCAACCAACGCAGAAGTTGTCTCATGGGGGCCTGAGAGCCCCCCCCCGTGCACACAGCTGTAAGCTGTTACCAGACCTCCAGTAAATGCAGGATCTCAACCAGAGACCTGTCAGGTCCTATACAGGGCTGTGGGCTCTGTCTACACCCCGCTCAGACACCCCCATGTAGGCAGCAGGCTGACAGACGCAAACAAAGTGCACCTGAAGGACACGGCCCCACCCTTTGTACTGCTGCACTGACAAATCAGCAGGCACCTGCTGCCATGGAATAGTGCTAGAAAGGAACAGGGTTGGGGAGGAAGCATTGCTGCTGTAAAATCTGTGGGGTCAATAATCCACCCTCTTTAGTCTTTTGTGACTTTTCCACAGACTAGATGGGCAATGGTCCTACAGCACTATCAGCAGAACTACGTGCAACTCTCAAGGGACAGAGGTTTGCAACAACTTGTATAGCATAGGTAAAAATAAAGACGCGCCTGCTTCTCTTAAAGGGCTTTAAGCTGCAGGGTTATCATCACAAACGATGCATGATGCAAATTTTCTCTAATTTAGACAGTCCGGTGCCATCCTACCTCTTTCACAAATAGTACAAGAGTGGAGTTCCAGAAAATGACTTGCCTCCAAACAGATGCTTTGCAACAGAACAGTCTTAAGAGCAGTACAGGTCTCAGTGCAAAGTTTCAGTAAACATTTATTTTGTTTAAGCTTAGTCACAATACCATAATTCACTTGTGAAATCTGTCTACAAATAGTTAACTACATAATACATTGATCTGGTGGTCAGAGAAGTAATAAATAAAGCCATGTATAGCTCTGTAAAAATAAGTTTGATATTCATAACTACTTAAAATATCAGCAAAATCCAATATTTCCTTAAGGGTCATATGTCAAAAGTATGCATACACAATTTTCTTCTGAACAAATAATTTTACATAACAATTTGCACAAATTTAAACATGATCTAAACTTTAAACCTCATGTACAAAACAGGATTTGAAATTAAATGACTGACATCAGTGCTGAAAACTAGTGCTACAATAGCAAATATAATTCCTGGTTAAAAAGAAGAAAGATCAATTTTTAATGTGCTAATTGTAGTCACAGTTCAAGGGAATTATCCAAAAATTTAAAATACATGCAGATACAATAAAATCTTTATTCTCAAAAAACAGACAAGTAGAACTTACAGTCAATAACATCATTAGCTGCCAAAAACGCATTATTAGTATGTGAGGCAAATCACATTAAAAAACTTTACACCATCAAAAAGCTAAGGTTGGTACTGAGTCTATTTTTCACATTAACTATGCAACAAGTCTTTAAAAGCAAATCACAATTTGAAGAACACACTATTAAGTACAGTACTGAGCTACACCAGATTTTGAACATTGTACTCTGACATTCAATACCGCTTTTGAAAACATTACATTCTGAATACAAAACAGTTAACTACAGGTGAGGTGTGTACTTTAAGATAAATTGCTACAAATGTAAAGCTTTGCAGAATGTTGATGTATTGAAATACATACAGTAGTTTCAAATATTAGACCCTAAAGTATGACATATAAATACTTAAGATCTTTATGGAATTTCTGTTAAAGC